ACGTGCATTAGCTTTATTAACTAAACTCACAAATCTATCTTAAAAACAAAAATCATGTATCAATTGCTCTCCAGTGTTGAGATTAACATAATACTATACAACAATGTTTATTACAAATTATTATAAATACAAATATTGTAACATATTTGAACCGTGTGATGACAAAACCAACATAATGCGTTTGCGACCAGCATGGATCCAGACCAGCCTGCGTATCCGCGCAGTCTGATCAGGATCCATGCTGTTCGCTATCAGTTTCTCTACTTGTTATAAGGTGTGTAAGCGAACAGCATGGATCCTGATCAGACTGCGCGGATGCACAGGCTGGTCTGGATCCATGCTGGTCGCAAACCCATTATGTTGGTTTTGTCGTGACGCGGCTCATTTCACAATGAATGGTTAAATACATTGATCTAATTGACACCCTAAGAGAAATTGATGACAATTATTGGTGAATGTCACTGGATTTCTATAGATATTTATAAACACCGATCTGTTTTATGATTTTAAAATAATAACTTAATAACTAAAAGAATAACGCAACCAGATGATTCTCATTAATTACACAGCTCATTCATTGACCACTCTTATGTGTTCTGGAATATTTAACAACTGGTCCCGCATCAGACGTTTGTTTCTCCAAATAAATCCCTGGCTTTTTTTTGTCTGTAAAGCACAAAAGCATATAACAGAAAGAAAATAAAATGAGCCGTGTCACGACAGAACCAACATAATGGGTGTGCGACCAGCATGGATCCGGATCCATGCTGTTCGCTATCAGTTTCTCTACTTGTAATAGAGTTGGTAAGCGAACAGCATGGAACCTGATCAGACTGCGCGGATGCGCAGGCTGGTCTGGATCCATGCTGGTCGCAAACCCATTATGTTGGTTTTGTCGTGACGCGGCTCATGAGTACATGTCTACACAATCATCACGTACTTAGTACAATAATCCAGACATCCTTATATAACATACAATCTGTATTTACTATGAAAAACAAATTGATATACAATTGTATAAACAATACTAACGGATGAATACAATATACAAATGTACATCATTACTATATCAAGATATATTAATTTAACTTCTATTAACTTATTAATTTTCTAACATTCTTTTTTTAAATTTTAGTTCTATGCCTTTATTTCTATGGAAAAATAGTTACTCTTTCGCATTATCCGTCACCTCTTGTTTTAGGTCTGAGTAATATAATTTTTATACTTGCTGTATCAATGTCATTTCAGGACTCTTACATATCTGGAATATAAAAAGTGAATACACATGGATTATAAGATAAATAATTAAAGCCGATATGTGAATTGTTTTTACAGGGTTTTAAATACTCCTTATATACTAAAACAAGTTTATGACTTGCCGTCAAATGTAATACATAGTAACTACAGAAAGTGTTCTTTAGTTTAAAATTGGTTGAAGACAAAATGTTCTTTGATGTATTTGACTTTGCACTGTTTTTCCAGCTTTACATTTTCTTGTAGACTTTATCGGTAAAAATAATTATGATATTTTTATTGAAATTCAATATTGCAGTAAAACACAAAATGCGTAAAGCCATTAAAGGAATTTATTTCCATGTCTCTCTATTATTCATATATACATATAAACTCTGCAAACATATGAATTTACAGACCTTCTATCTATTTTTGTATTTACAATAATCCACAGATTTTGTACAAAAGCATTTATTAACATTTACGCTTCCACAAAAATGTGATGCATTGAAGACAAAACAAGAATCGGTCCGTCACTAGTACATATACTCGTATAAGACTACCCTAACTATTCAATCTTCTATGCCAAACAAATTTGTGTCCAACATTATTTGCCGCCACCTTTCAAAGAATTTCCTTCTTACAAATTGTGTCACTTATTCATTAAGTCGAGCACTTAATAATTAAGAGCTTGGAACGAAGGGCGCATGTGCAAACTGAATGAAGTAGCTCCACCTTCATAGGACTGAGAGTCTTAACATGATAAAGCTAATATTTGTGTCTTGTGAGTGTGGCCTAGTGGTTGAGGGATTTGCCTCTTAATCCGGGGGTCGTGGGTTCGAGCTCCTAATATGTCACGACCATGACTCCTCATATGACACCAGTACTGGTGGACTCTTGCCCCACAACCGAACTAAAATAGATATGTTTAAACTAATATTTGTATCCAACGTGATATATTCTGCAATAATCGATATAAAATAAACTGTAAGTTATTGCTGTCTCTAAACTGACACATCATGGACAAAGATCTTAGTTTGGCGGAATTTACAGATCAATGTGGCTAACCAAAAGAAGATCGGCTTTCAGATATCTGCCCACGTCCGATGAATCACGTGCAATTACATAATAAATCAAGTTAAAGAATTTTATAGATATAGTAGTATGAGTTTACATAAACAGTAACAAAATTATATATACATTTAAAGAATCCTATTGAACGATTTTAAGGTTGAAAATCCCCTAAAGACAATACATCAAACAATGATTTGCCTATGCAATTTTTGCAATTTTCAAGTTAAATTTAAGTTATTTCATGATTCAGTTTCATCAAAAATATATTTATTTCATTTTTGCTGGTGTATTTTCCAGTGATTGTATGTAAAAATACTTTGAGGTTACATAATACTGTTGCGTTGCTACTTGAAGCATTTTCTTGTTCGGGAATTACTATGTCTTTATTTCCTTCTCATTAAAAATTTATCTAATCATTGTGAACGAATAATTTTAAACTAGAACTAGTAATTAGAAAGGAATTGAATTCATCCTGGCATCGACAAGCCCCACAGCATCGGAGAACGTGAACGTCATGTGCATTCTTCTATCTCTAAAAATAATATATATATAAAAAAATCTCTATACCACTTGTTGGAACTTGATTACACAAGAATTCAATGTTCAAATGTCGTAAAATTTTAGTATGGCACTTTTGGGGTGTTTCATAAAGTTCCGGCAAATTTAAGATAAGGTCTATTTTTGTATCAGGCATTTTTGTGTGTAATAAAATTACGTCGCGTTCTTTGAGCTGCGCCTTCATGGTATTTCATTTAAGACCGCCTGAGTCGGTACTGGATGGCATTAAATCTATGCTAGTTTGCAATTAAATAAACAAAAAATCAAGTTTAACACAGGTATAAATTTAATGAAGACAATATGAAATTTATCACAATTCTAAACAAAATCTGAATCATTATTTGTATATCATTTTATATATAATCCAGGAGAGAAATTTGTTAATTTTAAAGCAATAGATATTGGAGTTTCTCAGTAAAATACAGGCATTCAATAATGATGATTTGGAAATGCTGTAATAGTTCTCTGCTTGTCTTTCTCGATCTTTTCTTTAGAATATTGTTGCCATATTATAAAACATCGAGAGATCAGCATATAAATTTGTATTTACTGACATTAATTTCAAATGGCCAACCTTTGTCTGTTTTCTAAGAGTCTATGACGCCTCTCAAGTTGAGAGGTGACTATGTCTTTTCATGTAGACAAACAAGATTTCTTGAATTATATTCCAATACTCCGAGACGCTCTCATTACAAACTATTCATTTTTTTTTCTTGTTAACTTTGCTGTCTTGTTAAAGCATATCTCTTCATTTTGAAAATAAAATAAAATTACATGTGTATGCATGAAAATTCTCAACTATATATATTTAGTCACTAAATAGCCCACTTATTAATCACAAATAGGTCATTGTAGTTTTCTTCTCTATAACTTGTCAAATTCTGTAGCAGTGTTCTGAATACGGCGGCAACAAATGTTCTGAAAGTGTCCGTCAAGCCATCTGATATCTAATAGAAATAATTATGTATAATCTATTGCTAGACAAAGGTGTTCTCTTTGCTTGTTTATCTGATGTATAGAGGGGCGCCCGTTTCTGAGCTGTCAGGGTTGTTGACTTCAAACCACTTGTCAATCGCCGCTATAAGATCGAATCCCGTCAGGGACATTGGGTTCGTTCATTTGAGGTAGCCATCCAGCTAACTTACGGAACGTCGGTGATTCAACTCATGTCACCGGACGTACAGATGCAGGTATAATGTTCCATTACCTGATTTACAAAAATGCAACAAAAGCTGATTGAGCAGTTTGGGTCGTATATTCAATAATGACGCTTTATGTCTCTGATGCTTTCCACCTTTAGAAAGTAGTACTGAATTTGAAATTATTTGTCATAATAGTAGCGAGTGTAAACAAAGTATATTCAAAATACTTACTCACTTTAACTGTACTCATTGCCAAATAGTAACAGAAGCAAAAATTGTTCAGGCAATTGATCAATGAGTAATTGTTTAGAAACTTTAACAGGACTTCAGCAAAATAAAGAAGTTTTCGAGAAATAAAAATATAAGCATTTTTGAGGCTTAATGAGCCTGTAAGTTTACACGACGTGTATATTTTAAGTCCTGACGGCAAATTTATGCTCGTTTAAAGTGATATGATTTACCAATAACTGTTATAAGGAAATTAAGAATAAAGTTGGTATATTTTTCATTTAACAGGCATAAAAAGCATCTATCAATCTAGATATTAGATAGCCCGATAGTGCTAAAACCGTTTGTATAAATCCCCTCTGAAACCGTATTACGTCGTTTATTTTGATCAAACAGACGCTTCGTCCTAAGCCTTTTCGTACTTGAAAGTACCGATGCGCTATCACAATTAAGCTGTCAAAAGAAGCAAAAGATCTCGTTTTAATATTAGGGCAAAGGGCCAAAAAATGAGTTATTTCGAGTTCCAGGTTGGCCACATTAAAACAATCAACCTTTTTATACATGGGAACCTAAACGCTCGGATATATGCCATACATCGAAGAAAATAACTGTTATTTCTTACCCCATCAATATATTTTGCCAGAGCCAACCCAAAATAACACTTATAAATAATAAATTAGTATGGCAAATCTTCATGAAGGTTTATTACATAATGGTATTACACAGAGCTTATTCAGGGAAACCAATATTTCTCATCATTATTTTTGTATTTATATCATCGATGTAAGCAAAGTAACCTGTATACGAAAACTGGACAGTGTACTTATCTAATTTTAAGAAACAAAGCCGGACTAGAGAAAATACAAATGTAACGTCATTTAGTGCCTTTTAACAATTACCAATATGGGAATTGAGTTGCTAGCAAAGAATCAAATGCACAGTAAGTACTAATAATAGAATTGTATAAATGGTACAATAATTAATGGTGTATACTACAACGAGCAGAATTTTACGAACTTAACTACATTAGTGTTTGAAATTATTTTTGCCCAATAAGTTTGCAGTATTTCAAATGAATCGTAACACATTTACTTTGGTAAATCGACAAACTGTGAATCAGTCTAGTAAATCGACTGTTAATAAAAAATAATTCCAAACACTAAGCAGGTTAAAGTTTATTAAATTAAATTGGCCGCGCCGCGCCTGACCAATTTGATTCTGTAAGTACGTACTAATAAACTTTAACCTATACTTTTAAGAAAACTATTTTACTTAATGCTCTGTAATACATGTATATTAATCGTTTCGCGACATTAACCATGTAATGAGTTCAATATAATGATTTCGTTGTAATATACCTTGTGGGAAACACCTTGGGAAACCAGTTTTTAAATTCCATATACATGTAGTTTGTTCATAGTTAGTCACTATACAAGTATAAACGTGTTGTTTTATAGAGCGTAACCAGAAATACCAGCTTCTATTTTTAACAATGAATAATAATGATGGATAACATTTGTAAGTTTAAATGACTTTAAATGAACTTTTCAATTTAAATGTAAACGTATTGAAACATTAAAGTAAAACGTATGATATTGTTGTCAAAATCAATAAGACAAATTAATTTTTAGGAAAATCCCAACAAAATCAATTAGACAAATTTGCATGATTGATTGTTGGTGAGGAATATCGTAAAGTGCGAAGGAAAACATTCAACGATTCCTGAATACCCCCAAATAATAATAATAATAATTCAATTCAATTCTTTATTCAGCATATGAACATTACATGTTCGTCGCCTTTAACATGGTGACGGCGGTTGCAATATTAAATTTTGAGAAGAGCATGGTAATATATATAAACATACATAATCAATTCACATTACACTATGTAAAATTAAGTATGTAATAATAATAATAACAACAACAATAATAAAAATAATGATGATTATAATAATAATAATAATAATACCCCTTATTATAATAATAATGATGATGATGATCATAATACCCCCTTTTAATAATAATAATAATAATAATAATAATCATCATCATCATCAGCAGCAGCAGCAGCAGCAGCATTATAATAATTATAATAATAATCATCATAATAATAATAATGTTAAAATAGAAAATAAAGTTTGGAGAAAATGCAGTAATTACTGAAACTCGCTATAAAACCGATGTTTATTCATTTGGTTGTTTTAGTACGTGTCAAAGTATAAAGCGCACAGAAAAAAATAAATAGATCTCATTGATTTAACTTAAATTTGGTTATGCCATCAATCTGTAAGAAACTCAGTTAACAAGCTATGGCTTTGAACACAGCATCTTAATATGCTGTATTATTATCCTTAATTATAAAATGTCTATAACACTAATATTTGATCATGGGTGAAGGAAGGATATACAATCAATTTTCATATTAATTGATACTTTACCATACCTTAAATAATTAATCTTCTTCAATTGTGTAATTATATATCTTAGAAACATATTGTGGTTGTTTTCCTGACTTACGCTTTGAAATGTTTCAGTTGTGCCGTCAAGTCCTGAAGTGGCTTCTGGTAAGTTCTATGCATGTAGCGTTGACGTTTGTGAAGTGGGTATACAGTTTTGTAACGTCCTTGACAACAGATGTGTGTATTGTAGTGACCATCATCAAGATTGTTTCACCAATGTCCAACAACAGAACTGTACACTATATTGCCAGGGTAAGTGTTGAAACAATTTCAATATAAAAGTAAGTTATAATATCTCGTATGTTCATACCAACTCATTAGTATGTATTAAAATAATTACTGTTAACAGATTTACTAATAATTAAATATATGGCAATTAAATAACATATAAAACATGAGACGACATATATATTGTAATCTGGAAAAAAAGCTGTAAAATGATATTGAATTAATTAACAGAAAGAGCATCGAAGCTATCTGATTTGTACGGAGGGAGCGTAACCACCCTGCCAAATGACACATTTTCAATAAAAAGGTCTCCAAATTATGATACAATGTGTGATTAAATCTATGTTACATTTTTTTAATTTTGCAGATCAATGGCTTAAAAACTTGAAAGTAGAATGCAGCTCGCAAGGCCATGCAGAAGGTAACGTTTTATTACATGCTTTTCGGTGGTTTATAGAAATATATCAGTGATTTAAAACTGGTAATTTCACTGTTTGAAACAGTGAAATTACCACGTTGATAATTTCACTGTTTTGAATTTAAGCCCCTTACGTTGTTTTAGTGAAATACCAGCGTGCACAGTACTGGGTACCAACTTAATGACGTGACGTCGTAAATGACGTCACGTTGTATTATTATTTGGCGCGCTTTTCATTCATTTTTAGGTTTAATGTCTTTTTAAAACGTTTCTTTGCATATAATAAAAAGAAAATTTGTTTAGTTTAGTGTAAGATCGAAATATATTTCACCTTGTGAACACCAAAAGTTCATATTTCACTCGTGGCTGCGCCACTCGTGAAATAAACCTTTTGGTGCTCACTCGGTGAAATATATTCCTATCTTACACGGAACTAAACAAATATCCTCTATATCTTGATTAAAGTTTGAGTCAGAAACCATCCGATCTGCTGCTTTATTTTTTGTACAAAATGACACATTTTTACTAGAGGACAGTCTTGTGCTGGAAATATTTGTCAGAATTAATTTCAAGCTTATTCACAACTGTAACTTTATCAGAGAAAAATCTGCAATTAATCTGTGTGTCATTACAATAGTTCTGGTAATTTATATACACTGAATTCAAGTATAATAATCTTGTTTATTTCAGATAAATTCAAGATCCCATTCATAGTCACATCCGTGCTGGTGTTCGTATTGGGGATAGTAATAATAGTGATGATATTGAAAATGACTGGGATCTGTAATCTTCAACATCGGGTTTTTATGGCTATTAGAAAAATGTTCAAGAAGAAAACCCAAAGCCAACCAGATGAGCATGACATTGAAGAAAAAATGTTTGGAGAAGAACAGCAAGAATCAGTTCATGATACAGCAACAAAAGAGAGTAGAAATAATGAAAATGTTGAAAATGAAGAAATTCATGGACAACACCAAAAACCATCAGAGTCTGAAATTTCTTTTCACAAAAATACTCTAATCAACGATTCTGAAAAAGTTACGAGTTTGCCAGATGTTGTGATAGAACAGCATCAAGAACCAAACAAATTTCGACCAGAACCAAAGACTGATCGCCCGTCTGTAAAGAAACAAGATTCTGTTGAGTATCCTATCTCAAAAACGTCACACGTATCAGACAGTGAAGATGAGACAGAACTTCTAAAAAAACATAATGACGCAGGAATTGTTTATCAACGGACAGAAAGTCCAACTGTCCTCAATTTGCCTCATGGAGAATTACCCACAATGTCAAGTCGTGGCAGTTACCAGGCTTTCCTTCATTCAAACCAATCTACAGATGATGGTTATGTAACACACGGATTTAAACCACAAAACTGATTTTAAGTAAATCATATATGTATTGTATGACACCCCTAACACACTCGGAGCCCAGAGTGTTGATATACAAATGTACTTTGACTGTGGGATAAACCCAATCATTATCCGATTATAGATATTTGACATTTTGCAAGTCATGACCTATAAATATCTACTTACGTCAATAATTTCCATATTAAACTATTTATAGATACTACCCGTATATATAAATTTTATAAAGTCATTCTATTCTTCTATATTTTTTTCTCTGTGTAATATTGTGTCAATGATCTTAAAACAATATGGATAAAATGAAAGGTAAAATTTATAAATCTTATCTACATGTTCACAATGTACTGTAAATAACATTTTCTTACAGGGTATAATTTATGTACGGTTTAAACCTAAAATGAATTTCATGTATAGTAATATTTAGAATGAACTTAAACTTAACCATTAGCTTTGAATTTTAATTTGAATAAAAGCAATATCATAACAGACACTAAAATTTGTTGTTTATGAAAGATAAGTGTTAATATAAGAAATAAAAATAAATTAATACTTTGCTAATACAGAAAAATAGATCAACATACGGTTATTCTTAAAATAGAACAAACTATTTATATACTATTGATTTATATACCATTGTACTATGGACAAAGAAAACTTTATTTATTCGTTAAATGTCTTGATTATTAAATACATGTATAAGCGTTAAGTTTTGTTGTCTCTTATTTAATGGACGAAGTTGAAATCGTTCCTTTTTTTAAAAATTATTTAGTTTCTTCAGAAATATCCAAATGATACATATCTATTTTTATCAATGTTAAAAATACTTATTGGAAATGTGCGCATTTTAGATCACTTTAAATTGACATGTGTAATGAAATAAACATTAGCCGTGTAACAATGTGTAATTATCTGACATGATGATTTTTTTTTAAATTTCGCATTGTATAGTAAAATAGAGAAAAACAGAATCCCTAAAGAAAGCCCAACGCGGCAAAATTGTAAAATGTTGCAGGCTCGGTTTAATTGAGCCTGTTCATGGACGGTGCTGGAAAGTGAAAGTTACCGTCCACGCCCCTAGCACCGGCTTAAGCAGAATTCAACATTTAAACACAAAAATGGTGAAATTTTGAATTTAGAAACATCCGCAGATGTGTTCATACGGCGGTTATCATGGAACCTTCAATGTGACACAGTTGTGTCATTCCATGAAAAACGGCGTATGGTCCCCAAGTAAAAGAATGTGTGTGCCTTAAACGAGAAAACAATGGGCGGAACTAAATAAAAAGGAATTTTGAAAGGGGATCTGAGGTTATGAAGCCTGCATATCACAGACAAGATGTCAAAAGACAAATTTAAAAAGCAGAAAACATATCTTAAGGGTGATTATACAGTATTCAGGAAGGAATACTGGAACCACCCATGCTGATATAGGCCAAATACAAGACACAAAAAATGCCATCTAAAATGCATACACTACAATATTGTCGTGCTGAACGATTTTCAAAGATCGAAAATATAACATCATTGATTAAATGTACGGGGAGACCTTTTACAGCCGCCACACGGCACAAATAATAATAAAATACAATAGAGAAAAACATTCGGGTCTAATTTAAATATCAAGTGGGCACATTAAGTTGGCCTGTAAATAAAGGTTGAAATATAGGGGTATAGGAACTATAAAGAACGCCCGAAACGGCAAAAGTGAAACTGCTGCAAACTCGGTTTAATTAAGCATATTCACAAAGAGCATTACAATGGTACAAGCTATTGATTTTTTTTACTAAAAATAGTTATTTTAGAGATTATTTTTTAATAGTTTTACAGTATCATATATATAACTCCTTATGTAGCAGTGGCTTTGTGTTGTGTAAAAATTTGAACCATGTCCGAGATCATACAGGAAACCATCTGACCATAGGGAAATATCACAAGAGGCATCGCCTTCTTTCTTTGCTTCTATACACTGAGGATCCATCGACATATTTTATATATTATCATTTTGATCAAATGCGCAAGCGTTTTGACAAATACTGGTCTGGTCTGATCCCAACCCAATTTATGGTGTGCAAATCTCCGAATAGAGCTACTTTTTGACACTCGAAATGATCCCTACAGGGTGTGACAGGCCTAGATAGCTGCATGTACAGTGTCGAGATTGTGTATGTATTCTCAACAAACAATTTTCAGTGTCATATACAGATTTATTAGGGATTTAAACTACTGCCGATCAGTCTCGATTTTGAATAACATATTCTACGTATTTAGGATTTTTTGACTTTTTAGAATGCATTTTTTGATATTTTATTCTCGCCTCCCAACAATGGTGTTGTTGATTTTTGGTAATCAGGTGTATTTATAAATTTCAGAATTTCCAACTTCCCTTACACCAGGGAAATATTTTATTTGCTTCCAAGATATTTGCCAAGAAGGATTGCAATTCTGTAACGCAGCTATTCCAGTGAGAAGATGTGAATATTGTAATGCATACTTTCATGCGTGTTTTACATATCACCAGCAAGTCAACTGTACTCAATACTGCATGGGTAAATATATAATGAATATCATGCATTTTTAATTTATTAGTAACTTATTTCCATCGTCCGGAACATTTCCATACATTTTCATACTATATGTCACATAGTTAAGTATTCTCTATGAACGTTTTAGACATCACAATTGCATCCACCATTTAACCCTGTGTGGTCGTGAGAGGCGACTAGACTAAATGGGTTTGAAATAATCTTTCGCGCCGTCTGGAGCAGTATTCAACACTGAATGATGAAATTCCTAAACATCTGCAGATGTGTGTCAAATAGCAGTGAATATGAAACCCTTATTGTTGCATGTTTGTGTTTTTCCATGAAAAGCACTTTAATTTACTCACATTGAATTGCTTTATTTTTTCTATACATAGCAGATATTATTAACTAATAAGCTTAAAGTATTTACATGGATCTTAAAAAAAATAAAATGATCGGACCATAAGGTTTTAACAATATGAAAAGCGGTACATGTATATGGTTCACGAGTAAAAAAAAATGCGCGTGCATTAAATGCGAAATATATTTAAATTATATTTTGAAAGCGGATCAGAGCTTGATTTGACAAGTCATCTTCTTACATATTTCTGACAATGACGAACAAATGGACCCTTAGCAAAATTTGAGTAAAATCACTAAATATGGGTTCCATTTTCAGAAGTCTTTCAAATGAAATATTTATTGTTCAACTCTTGTGTTTGTGCTTGCATGGATTTATCAGTATAAAATGATTGGTTCGCAAATTTGTTTTTTGAATACATGTATATTAGTGATATTGTGTTTTGTTTATGTTTTGTTGTTGTTGTTTTTTCGACATCACGGATCCCACCTACATTTTTCATATTTCTGAAATTGTAATATTTAGTTTTTTTTTTGTTTTTTTTAAATCTTTATTATAGACCAATGGAGACAGAATACCATATCTCAAATTGAAGACAAAGAGCATAAAAGTGGTAAGTATCGTAGCATCATTTACATAAACTGTTGTTTGGACCGATGATCATCAGATCGCATGACCACCAGTTTTGACCATATTTTCCAAATCACGCCGTTTTCTATGATTATTTTTATAAAGGCAATCTGTCAGAAACCTAAGAAAATGCATGTCAGCATCAGACATGCATTACTGGTACTGGTTCTGCAGCATGTACTGCAAACTTGCACTGTGGACTCTTTTGGGTTCTGAAAATGAAAAAGAGGCTAAATGAGGAGTGATATGTATTTGATATGGATATTTTGGACTGAGAATATAAGTGGGATGTATTATTGTAAAGAAAGCGTGAAGGCTATTTTCATAAATGTAAAATTTACCTGACATAACATTTGTCCCAATGTTTTGGATGAAAGGTTATTCTGTTGCATTACAGTTGGCTTAATATTCAACTGAACTGGATTCAAAATCAGACATACAATTATTGCATTTGTTTAATTAAACAGCCTATTTTATTGACTTAAACTGGGGAGACTCTATTTTTATTTGTTAACATAATAAGATATGAATGACTTGTTCTAAATAGGTACTTCTGTAAATATTTTTGTAGAAATTTGGTTTTTAACTTTCGATATAAATAGTAATAAATATGTTTTTTGGCTGAATAGCTTTTGCATTTATTGAACAACGATCAAATGAATTTTTCTAGTAATACTTATTTTGTCGATACATGTATAACACAAGTAAAAATATGTATAGTACATAATTATATTGTGTTACATTTCTTTGCAAACAATTGTCTTTACGCAAAAAATGGTAAATATTTGAGAGTACTGGAAATAACTTAATAACTTCCAAAATAAATAAAATGGTACTGCAGAACCGAACCCAATTAAGTACATGGCACGTACCGGTACTGTTACCTAATGACTTCAAACAAAAAGTAATGGTACTGTAGAACTGTACCAAATTAAGTACATGGCAAGTACTGGTAATTGTACTTAAGTTCTACATTCCTGGTACTCTGCGTAGGCTTTTAATAGACCTAGCTACTTTTACATTGCGCATACCTGCAATTTCACCATGTGTAGCGTTAAAACCGTTGGCAGAGCTAGCAGAAACTTGTTACAACAAATGTTAGCGTGGCTATCGTGTTACGAAGAAATGACAAATAAATCTTTCTTTTATTAAAAATTGAATAAATCTAGATAGTATTGTGCGAAAACGTATTTTAAAGAATGAAAGAAGATTTAATTAATTAATTTATTGAAATTGCTATGAAGCTCATGACAAATTATTTTTAAAGTATTTTATTCCATGAACAATGATACTATTTGAAGGAAATCATGTCTCCATATTTTGATCCTCATTTCTGAAATAACATATTCATATTTTGTACATTTTAATTTATATTATTATATACTTTTTATTTTCAGATTTGTATCAAGTTATGTTCTTTATACTACTTGGTTTAAAGTTTTCGAGTGTGTTTATAACATTTCTTTTATGTGTACCTCGCATCCGCGTGGCTATATTCTCAAAACTGAACGGGATTTCTACTCGACACAATAACGATACCGATCAGCATGACAGACGACCGTTAGTTACCTTGCCCCCTGTACAAAACAATCGTCCTCAAAGTTGTGGTATAGAAGCGCCGGTGGTCCAAAACAGTGTTGTAGATGTTACACGTCAAGATGGAGAGGGTAGATCTCATACTGAAAGTGAAGAAATCAGACACCAAAGTGGCAACACAACACATCCGCCTGAAATAATGCCGAGCACAGCTGAGGGTAGATCTCATATTGAACGTCCAGGAAGTGAAGAAATTCGGCATGAAAATGGCAACACAACATGTCAGTCTGAAATAAGTCCAAACACGTCTAGAAAACAAGTTATTGCTCAAAGACATAATAGTCAAACATACCAGAAGATGGATGTAGACCAAACCACTCCATTTCTTAGTTCGTCGAAAAACGATACACGCTTAAACCCATTAAAGGGTGACAGTGTCAACGGTGGAGTACCACACAATGAACTTTCTAGCGCTGGGAGCAGCGGCTACCAAGCTCTGCGGCATTGTCCAAGTACGAATGACGATACAGGGTATCGTTCGGCATCTCGGGGCATTGATTAACATAATCATGTTTTTATTGCACAGCTTATATGAAATCTATTACATTTCATGGAATCCACTTTGCTCTGGCTGAACATGAAAATGATGTAAATTTTTCATGTCTGAAATAGACATAATTATGTTATGTTTGCTATATTAGCTTAAAAGTTAAAAGAGGCATTATCGTTGATTTATTCTGTTGTTGTTTGTTGTTGTAACTACTGTTGTTTCAAGATTATCACACAATTAGACTAAAGTAAGTATTTAAAAACAAACCATAATGTATGACTGTGCAAATACATAATGTTATTGCTTGTATATGATTTCTGATGACTTATAGGCCCATGTGGCCGCGTGCTATTTTTTTACGTGTAGATATGTATTGTAATAGATATACACATGTCATATACACATGTCACAATAATAAAATATTTACTTACTTACTTACTTACTTACTTACTTACTTACTTACTTACATTAACATTTATATTTTTAACTCAATCAAACTTTGTAAACACACATGATATATTTTAAATGCTATTTTATTTTCGGCGTTACGAACATGATTTATACAAAAACATTTTGTATAAAGAGTTATTTGCAGTATCATTATCACACTATAATATCGCATATATATGTACTTTCATCGATTGTTGATATGTTTATGAACATGTCATTTTCCTAAGCTGGTTGAAATAGCGATCGATGATCTTGCCGGCATAGATGAAGTTTATTTTTACTCGTATTTCAAACAAAAGGTCAACAGCTGGTCTAAACATTCTGAATATACTGAGTATACATCTAAGCAAAAGCGATATTTGTAAAAGAATGAGCACTTTTCATATTCTTATTCTTGATATATCAACTCCGAAACTTCTTAACAGTCATAAACATTAGAATAATAAGAGTATAATTATAAAATTAACAAATTACAGATAACCATCGCATAGGTTAGCTGTTGACATTGGTAGAAGGGGGCCGTTTATATCAAGACACCCCCATCAGCTTCAACAGACTGAAAAATCACTTTGTTATTGAATGTCTAGACTTGTTGCATTTAAGGAACTATTAGATGAATTTAATGAAGATGAAAATATTTCTAAACCGAACAAAAAAGGGACAGGTGCTACGTATGATTTAATATGGTTTTATTAGAACTTATATTTTACGTAACAAGCTACATTTTAAGGGAAAATCCAATTGGATTTGAGCAATATAGATTTTGTTACCCATGCCTAATGAAAATGATGGTACATGTACCAACCACATTTCTTATCGGTCACCTCTTAAAATGCATTGCTTCGGACTGTCAACTTAAGTTTTCCTATAAAATACTGTTCTGTGTGTGATCTTTAACATACCAATAGGTCGAAACCATTTTTTTTTTTTCAAAATTAATCATGTGTGACAAAAGTACACAAAAAATATTCACGTGCAGCGTTTATTTTCCTAAAAATAATCATTTCTGTCTACTCAGCATATCTCTATTTCCGCGAACAAAAAAAGTAAATGCTTTTTTATTCTTAATATAAAAACAGCGTTTTATTAAATTCCTTTTACGTGTATTTTAACATTTTATAATGAATGTAGTAAGGCACAGTCTAGTTAACTGATGATACTCTTAAACCTTTGGACGATTTTTAGTTTCTTACTTAAGCATTTTCCGTTCTTTTTTTATGACTTTGCTCTTGTAAAACAGAAGTCATGTTGGATCACAAAAGTCAATCAAGATGTACTAAATGAGTGTTAGGTAGATTGTTTGTCTGGGTATTGTTTTCTTAATTACCAGCATATTCAATTAGCTTACTCCTGTTTTTCCCGGTATTAGTTATCGTCTGGTACAGTAGCCTTGTGTTTCTTCTACGTCAGACCTCAACGTAAATGGAGTAGAATAAATTTAAAGAGAAATGTAAGTTGTGTAGTGAACACGACACACTGTTTACCAGTCTCATGTCACCGAATTATGCTGCATTAGATGCTAGTTCTCAACTTTGTTTGCATATCAACAGACTCTCGTCTTGGTTCTACATAACCGACTGCTGCTGAAAGCTACACTATCTTTTCTTTCTTTCTTCTTTCTTTCTTTCCTTTTTTCTTTCTTTCTTTTTTTTATTCTAGCACAAAATACCCAAAGAAAATTAAATGTTTTTTTGCCATAAAGACAAACAAAGAAACATATCACTTAGGGTACATATAACAAATTTATTAACGTGGCCAATTTCAGTGTGATATACACTAAAACATTGATTGCTATCACATTATATGATGGTTTCATTGTTATTTAATATTCCATAATATTATATTTTATTGAAACTTTATATACATAAATGAATTTATGAACAAAATAATTTATTCACAAGAATAATTACATGTAGTACAATCTTGCTACGATAGAAGACATTCAGAGTAATTTCCATAGAATCTTTCCGCTCCTACGATCGGAAGAAAACAGGCAGTTCACATTATCAGTTACAAGTTTACACAATTTTCTTAATTCAAATTATTGCTTTTAAGGTAACTATTTTTCAAATTTAAATAACTATCCAAACAGCTACCCATGCATTATTTTAGATGCAAACGGGCATCCGAGTAGATTTACTTTTTTAAACTAACCTGGAGAAATAACTCAGACACTTAATTACTTTACAACGTAATATGAGAGGGACGACTTGCGTTACATTATTCTGATTCCTCGGTATCGAAATGTATAAAAATTTTCGTTACGGAAAATTAACATGAAAACAACACTAATTGGTATTCAAAATCATATAATTTTCTTTTTTGCACATCAAATAAGTAACATAATATATTCCTAAAGATTTTTACATAATTATACAGCATAATTTTACAACATAAATATGTAAAGTTTTAAGAAATTGCAAACTGTATTTATTTTGTTGCATACATACACAATAAAATCCGTGTTACAAGTTATCCAAGTTATAAGGAAATTTTTCAAGCTCAAACTCAAATCTGAAGTATTTGGTTGGTGAGAAACCTGCATAAAATGTACACTGACCAATGAATATGCTGAGATTTGAGACAGAGCTCAAAAAGTTCTATACTATGTAACATTGTAACTTTTTCTTTCCCTTCGCAAATCGTAACAAAATTTCATTTTCACTATCTGTCAACAACAAAAAAAACCTTTTTTCAAATTTCCAGCCTCAATCAAGCCGAGCTTGCAACATTTTCAATTTTGCCGTTTGGGACTTTCTGGTTTCTTATAAAAAAAACTTTTTGTCTCAAAATATTCTACTTGACTTAACAGTGAGCCTCTTATATATGGTGACTGATTTGTGCCATGTCGTATTTTTGCTCTACGGAACACCAGAGGAACACACGATGAAGTGATACTTTCACTCCACGGTGCAACAGGCGAAAATACAACAAAGTACTCACTGAGTCGTAATTTTGTGCTTTTGCCTTTAGCTCCTTGCCAGATTAAATCACAAAAAGACTATAATTATAACATAATCCCTTTATCGTATTTTCGCCTTTTACTTCCCAGGATGCCAGACGAAAATACGACAATGAGACCACTTTGACATACTTTCGCCCTGAAGGGCGCTAGGCAAAAACAGGAGAATACGACAGTGGTTACTTTGTCATATTTTTGTCAAGCACCCATGGACTGAAAATAAGATATTGCATAAATCAACCACCATACTTATATGATATCACTTTCATCAGCAAGAATTAAAAGAATGACTAACATAATTCACAGTTTATAATTACATTCAAGCATTAAGTTTACCCTTTATGATTATCATCAAAGTACAAGTAGAACATATGCAGCTTGCAATAAAAATGATAGAGATACATGCAATATTAATTGAGAAATAAATATATCAAAATTCTACATACAGAATATTTAAATAGTTTTCTACAAAAGTTGAATATGCAAATTTGATGAAAAATCCTGCAGAAACTTCTCATTTTATCAAATGCCTTTACAAATAAAAATATCAACATAACTTATCAACATATCTGTTGATCTAGTATCATTACATTATTTATCAATTAAAGCACATACCATTATTTATTATGCCTATAATTGTAATAACAGCTCTAAATCTATCAGCTGTAAGCGCTCATTTTAATACATGTAATACAAGTTCTAAAAATACAAAATTTTCAATCAAAGATTTTTTTCTGCCCTCAAATCTGATTATATACTAAAAACATATATCAAATGGCATAAATCTTACATTCATAATCACATCTAGGTATGATGTGCAGTCATCCACCACACATACTGAGCATAACTTTATAGCATACCCCACTGAAATGTTTTCAAATTAACAGAAAACTCTGGTGACCTCCAAGTGTGTCTAGCGGGTAGAGCACATCAAGATGCATATATACACATATGAAGTCAGAATGCTTTTGGTGAAAGCATGTTTTATTTTATGATCAAAGTAAATATTTGCCATTTGGATCACAATGACCTTGACATTTGAAGCTTTAGTTGGTGCATAAATCCCTGAAGATTAAAGGCTGTGTCTGTTATATGGATATAATTAAAATTTGATATTTGGGTGTCATTGTGACCTTGACCATTGACCTTTAAGTGGGTCTTGCAAAAAGAGGCATCAAATTGCATAAAATTAATGTGTGCAAAGTTATGCTTTAAATGGAAAATGGAAGCATGTTTATTAAATGACCAAGACTTTTATTGCTTTCATAGACATGACTGCAGTGCTATGGCCAGGGTTAAATATCTTTTTAACATACCTGTCTCAAACCAACAGACCTGTTAACCACAATATGACCACCCTATCTATACATCTGGGCAAAGGCATAAAAGATAACAAGCTTTAGTACCAAAATGCCTCCACAAAGAATTGAAATAAGATATATCAAAGTGTCACATCACATACTTCAGACAGTTATAATCAGCTTCAGATGTAGATGTCAATCTTTATTCCAATGAATATAAAAATATTTTTGAATCAATTTTTGCAGGCTACCATTTAAAGTATATTGAAAATTTAATTCATTAAATATGTTTGATTACAATAAAACTTGACATTCATGCTTTGGCTCAAACTCAATGTAATTATGCATCCCAAAAAATAGTTTAAACAAAAAACAAAATAGAACACAATCGCTTAAATATCATTTCAAATGAGAAAAAAATACAATTATTTCTTTCATCATGCACAAGTTCCTTTGAATTTAATATTTGCAAATCAAAATTGATTTCTTCTTTTTTTACAGCATTAGAGAAAAAAAATCCATATAAATATCAAATATATTCCATGCAGATTTGGCCAACCATTCCAAGAATCTTCAACTCTATGTGCCATGATGAATAGCATTTTTTATGCCAATTTCATAAGATATATGGTCATTTCTTGGCATTGGGTCCACCTAACCAGTTTTGCTGGATAACTAACCAGTAATTAGGAATTTTTACACAAGTGACCGGATATAAATCCAACATGATATCTGAATTAGTGGTGATAGAAAATAACCATTGGACTCAACAAGATTGTCATGAAATTTCACTTCGCCCAATGATCAAACCTGGATTACAAAACCAGATGTTCTCCCTGTAAGCTAAGTAGGCATACCATACAAGATTTTCTCAGCCAAGACTTCCTATACATACTTACTAATGTCTGCTAAACTTTAGCATTCCTGTCCCTTAGATAAGCTATGGATAGTTCCAAATTAAAAGCAAAGGCAATTTCATAATACAAATTCTAGAACAGTGTAAGGGGTTAACAATACCTGCGATATCATAGCAGTGTTCAAATAAATTTATACGATAGAAATCGGTCATTAAAAAAGGGGTAGACTTCATTATTCACCCTCTCTGTTTCTATTTTTTAACAAGGTAAAATATATTAGAGCATTTAACAATATCCTAAAATGTTGTAACATCAACTCAGGAAGTCTGTCACTTCCGCTAACTCCCTTTCTCTTGCCTGTTTATGAGCCCATCTCGCTTCTGCTAATTCCGGCGTTACTTTCCATTTGTCATGGAATATTCTTTTACCACAGCTGGGACAAAATTTCCCATCTGAAACAATAAAAAAACATTGAGAATTACTGGAGGCATTCTATATCTAATTATGCTCTTAAACCATACAGTAGTTTTTCGCACAAAATAAATTAATTGGGGAGAAGCCTTAGCCTCTTAAATTTCGAAATAATTTTATCACTAAAATTGCTTATTTAGGAAGTGAAAAATCTGGTTTTGGGAAAATTGTGCGGTTTTCAAGAAAAATTCCTTTAATAGGCCTCTGTCATGTGAGGTAAAAATCTTTGACATAAGTCTCCCTATTGAAGCAAAATCATTTCATGTTGCCATAAAAACCCACATATTTCTATGTAATCAGTAAAAAAATTTACACTCATTAAATCTAGTGCTAAATAATCTTGTCTTTGAAACATATTTCTACATTTATCAAGCGCTTTCTTTTACAGCAAAAATCTTACACATTTCTTTACTAAATATACAATGTTTAAAACAGATACACAACTATTTGTTACAAATCAATAAAATACAAAACAATTTTGAACAAGTAACCTTAAAATTCATATCATATAAAATGTCTGTTGTTACCTCCCTTTAACTATAAAATTCCAAATTTTTAAATTGTAAACAAAAAGATGGCTGAATTATTTAACAAAAAATTTATCTATAAGGCATTTATACATACCTTTAATCATAATCAAATATGGAAAAAAAAACAGACAGACAGTTTAATTAAACAGTAATTCTGCGAAAATTGTCAATTCTGATATTATTCACAAACTGTATATGAACTGATCAATTTCAAATTTATCTAACACATAATGATGCGTGTTTTAATTTCACATACATATGAAACAAGTGATCATTTTATTCATTACCTTTAAATGGTGGAGTTTTCATATATTTTGCGAGACATCCATGATGATAAAGGTGACCACAGTAAACACGTTCTACCCTCTTCCTTGGATCTTTCGCAACTTCCTGTTAATACAGAAGATTCACGGTAATAAATATGACATATTTAAAAACATGTAGTGGTTGTTTCAAATTTAAAATATTTGGTCCATACCATAATGATTTACAATGCACATGCTCACCAGACAAGTGATTAATGATACTACAAAACCATTTGAGGGAAGCGGTGGCCTAGTGGTTAAGGTGTCTGCCTCTCAACCCAGGGATCATCAGTTCGAGCCCTAATCAGGTCATCCTGTTTCTTTATATGACACCAGTACTGGTTGGTTCCAGGAAGTGGACTCGAAAGTGATTAATATAACTTGAAAGAACTTGTTTACAATCAAACGTAAATAAATATATTTAAACCAAACAAAACCATGTCTACACACATAACGATTTTCTATTAAAATAACAGAGCTGAACTATAGAAACAGTATTTTATATGTAAAGATATATTATTATTACACCATAAATCACATCACACAAAACATCATCTGAGACTCCATCTAAGCTTTATCTAAGAATCAAATAATTTTATTTATGAAATAAGAGGGAGCTACCACTTACATGACCTATACCACTAGTTTATAACCAGACCAGCCTGCACATTCTACCAATCTGACTGGTTACTCTTTCATGCTCAATTTTTATAATTTGATATCAAAATCCTTGAATAAGGTGGGTATTTGCTAAGTAGTTAAAATATTTGCCTCTCAAACCAGGGATCATGAGGTTGAGCACTACTTAAGTCACAACTATGTTTCCTCATATGACACCAGTACAAGTTTATTCCAGCAATCAAGTTTGAGTAGATATATCTAAACTAAAATGAATATTACTCATGGACAAGTTGATTAAACAAATTCTGTACATGAAAAGTAACAATTAAGATGACATCAACAAATATACAGCTTTGTTTGTTTGTTTGGTTTTAACACCAATGTTATCCTATTTTGTCATACCTTGGCAACCTATCCACCAAGCCACCTTTTCTGAAAAATTTACAAGTAAATTAATTAACAATTACCTATATATGAGCTGCGCCATAACAAAACCAACATACTGCATTTGCCACCAGCATGGATCCAGACCAGCCTGCGCATCCATGCAGACTGTTCAGGATCCATGCTGGTCGCTTAAAAATCCTATTACAAGTAGAGAAACTGATAGCGAACAGCAGGTCACAAACACACAATGTGATTTTGTCATGGTGCGGCTCATATGTAACAGTCTATACAGAATAAAGTCTTACCTCTGGATCTCGTAACATTACTCTATCTTTACAACAAGGACATATCTCCAGCGGGTATCTCTTCACACAATCTTTGATTAAAAACTCACACACTTCACGTAACGAGACTCTTGGCTTAAATGGAGGATCTCTAAAACAGGCAAAATTGTATTTAAGGCCATTTTTAAGAAAAAATATCAAGTTAAAAAGACAAAGTGAAGAAAAACAATCTGCTCTTTTTTGTTCTTGAAATTTTGCACCAAAGGGGCCCCAAACCAAAAAAACCCCAAAATTTAAACACATGGAAAAAAAAGGAAAAAAAAAACTTTTTGGTTTTCCTTCAAATTTTGAAAAATTTTCTGGGCCCTTTGGGAAATTTCTTGAAAAAAACCAAAATTCAGGGACAGATAACTCAAAGACAAGAACAGTGACACCCCCCAAATTTTGCTTGCTTAAAATATTTCTATTATCATAATCTTCATATTTTATCAACATACCAAGTTAAAAGAATTTCTATTGAATAGTTTTTAATTTTGCCTATACATGGATGTCTATATGAGAACTTTCAGAAAACATATCATTTATATAACAAAGAATCTTACTTTTTATTAGGTTTCAGAGGAGGCTGCACACATTTTCTGGCTATTTCTACAGCTTGTCCTACAAAGAAAACTTTCAACAAGTTCGGAAAATTACTCTCTGAAGCCTCAATCCTGAAATATTAACCCATTACTTCATATACACGCCTTTTAACGCCTTTTTCACCCCCCCCCCCCTTTTTGTTGTCTCAAATGATGAAAAAATGCCTTATTTAGGCCCCAAACACTTGTTTTTGTTTGAGAAATGTTGTTAAAAAAAGTGACCTCTTTTTCGGCGCGGCCCCCCAACCAAAAGATACATCAGGGGGTTGCCAGAAGGGGGATGTGCCCCCTTCTGTTTGGGGGGTTTGAAGGGGGGCGGAGTCCCCCTCATCGCCAAGAAAATTTTGGACTTGTGAGAGGCTGTAAATGACCCCAGATTGATCATAAGGTAACGTGTAACCAAAGCTGAAAAGCATTTGACTCTATCTCAATCCATTGAGAAGTTGCAGCACTTTGAAATCAATTTTGATGGAAAAAATCAACGCAAAATAGTGATTTTTGGCAATTTTGAGATGTCCCCTCGTTGCCATGGTAACAGAAAATTTAAGCCTGAGCATGTTGTTGCAAGGGCAATGGTCCAGTCAACATTTGTGCCAGTTTGATTAGTGTTGAAGCAGTTTTTATAGTATTATAGCAATTTGAACTTGTAACGGGAGACTTTTCAATGAAAACAGCCATTTTTCACAAAATGCTCATGAAGCAATGGGTTAATGAAAAAATCAAAAAAATCTACAAAACAACAATTTTCTTCAAATTTATATGACAGGCCATGTTTAAACATGAAAAAAACGCGATTTAGGGTAATTTCAAGTATTTTCATCATTTTCTGTTAACCCATTACTTCATATACACGCCTTTTAACGCCTTTTTCACCCCCCCCCCCCTTTTTGTTGTCTCAAATGATGAAAAAATGCCTTATTTAGCCCCAAACACTTGTTTTTGTTTGAGAAATGTTGTTAAAAAAAGTGACCTCTTTTTCGGCGCGGCCCCCCAACCAAAAGATACATCAGGGGGTTGCCAGAAGGGGGATGTGCCCCCTTCTGTTTGGGGGTTTGAAGGGGGGCGGAGTCCCCCTCATCGCCAAGAAAATTTGGACTTGTGAGAGGCTGTAAATGACCCCAGATTGATCATAAGGTAACGTGTAACCAAAGCTGAAAAGCATTTGACTCTATCTCAATCCATTGAGAAGTTGCAGCACTTTGAAATCAATTTTGATGGAAAAAATCAACGCAAAATAGTGATTTTTGGCAATTTTGAGATGTCCCCTCGTTGCCATGGTAACAGAAAATTTAAGCCTGAGCATGTTGTTGCAAGGGCAATGGTCCAGTCAACATTTGTGCCAAGTTTGATTAGTGTTGAAGCAGTTTTTATAGTATTATAGCAATTTGAACTTGTAACGGGAGACTTTTCAATGAAAACAGCCATTTTTTCACAAAATGCTCATGAAGCAATGGGTTAATGAAAAAAATAAAAAAATCTACAAAACAACAATTTTTCTTCAAATTTATATGACAGGCCATGTTTAAACATGAAAAAACGCGATTTAGGGTAATTTCAAGTATTTTCATCATTTTCTGTTAACCCATTACTTCATATACACGCCTTTTAACGCCTTTTTCACCCCCCCCCCCTTTTTTGTTGTCTCAAATGATGAAAAAATGCCTTATTTAGGCCCCAAACACTTTTTTTTGTTTGAGAAATGTTGTTAAAAAAAGTGACCTCTTTTTCGGCGCGGCCCCCCAACCAAAAGATACATCAGGGGGTTGCCAGAAGGGGGATGTGCCCCCTTCTGTTTGGGGGTTTGAAGGGGGCGGAGTCCCCCTCAATCGCCAAGAAAATTTTGGACTTGTGAGAGGCTGTAAATGACCCCAGATTGATCATAAGGTAACGTGTAACCAACGCTGAAAAGCATTTGACTCTATCTCAATCCATGAGAAGTTGCAGCACTTTGAAATCAATTTTGATGGAAAAAAATCAACGCAAAATAGTGATTTTTGGCAATTTTGAGATGTCCCCTCGTTGCCATGGTAACAGAAAATTTAAGCCTGAGCATGTTGTTGCAAGGGCAATGGTCCAGTCAACATTTGTGCCAAGTTTGATTAGTGTTGAAGCAGTTTTTATAGTATTATAGACAATTTGAACTTGTAACGGGAGACTTTTCAATGAAAACAGCCATTTTTCACAAAATGCTCATGAAGCAATGGGTTAAAAGAAAATTTTTTTATATGGCCGCGTCATGACAAAACCAACATAATGAGTTTGCGACCAGCATGATCATGACCAGCCTGCGCTCCCGCAGTCTGCTCGGATCCATGCTGTTTGCGTACAAATCCTATAACAAATAGAGAAACTGCATAACGAACAGCATGGATCCATGATCAAGACTGTATGCGGCATGCGCAGGGCTGGTCTGGATCCATGCTGGTCACCAAACCCATTATGTTGTTTTGTCATGGGTGCTCTATATGTATCAATATATAAAATCAGAAGTTTCAATTGTGAAATCTTCTGTGTTTTCGTAAATTAGAGGTTCCAGTATTTACCGGAAATTTCCTAATAACTTATAAGGAGAAAATATGTAAAGTTTAAAATTGCCCCGTTTCAGAGGGTCAGATTTTCAAAGTTTTTATTATAATTAAGGTAATTACCAGGGTGAGGTTTAAGAAACACATACTAGTAATATAGAAAAAGCATTAAAAAAAAATGATAAGAAATGTTAACTAAAACTTACGATACTTGTTCCAAGGGATATTTATCAGGCACCATAATTTTGAGATTCATAAAGTATTGTTCCTGTACGATCTTCAACAGAACATGTGACGAATCTTGTTTTAACTTCATTTTGTCATGTTCACCTATCAAGTCTTTTTTAACTGCAGCTATTTCATCACTGCATACACACAGTGGATTATTTATCACAAATTCACGAACAAATTTCATTATGGGTAAAATCTGAAGGAAAAAAGGAAACATATTTTTTATCATGCAGATGATTATGGTTAATTACAGATGCATTGCATACGAATATTAAAAACTGCAAATAAAAACAATTTCATCGGAAGATACAATGAAGGAAAACAATTTATAAGATAATGTTCTAAATCTAATAAACTTTTTAAATGATAACTTGGCATCAGCAATTAAGATCAGAGGATTTTTGGGGATATGTATATATATATAAATATCAAAGCATCTACCAAATTTTCTAAGATTTAAAAAAATAATTTTTCCTGCTTTGAATAAAATGTTCAAATCTAGGGTAACTAAAAAGGACATCATAAAAGTTACCTTTTTTGCCCACAGTTTCTTTGTTTCCTCGTCACAACGAACCCCCATAAGTATTTTACTGAGAGATTTTTACGGACTCAGTACAAATTTCGGGATTTTACCGGAACGAATATCCTTTCAACCTTTTAGGTTGTTTTAAAAAAAAAGAAAATATTAGAGATTTAAAAAGTCTTTTTTTAAAGGGGGCAAACGTAAAGGGTTTGCACACTTTTTCAAGCGAGCAATTGTTAAAATTTGACAAAAAGGGAACAGGGCGTATTTTTGAAATGGGAACAATTTTGCCGGGCAAGGGGGTTTTCTTATTTTTTTAAATTCTTTAGTATGTTATTCCAAAAGCAATAAATTGCCACTTTCGGTTAAAGCACCCAAAAATTCTTTTTTGACGTATGAATAAAACTATCGTATTTTTTTTTAAAAATTTGCAGTGATTTTCGGTGGGTTTTTTCTCCTAATTTTTTAAAATTTCCAATGAAAAATCACAAAGAAACCTTTGATCATTGCCATATTACGGGTTTTTAAAATTTACCCCAACAAAAATTTCTTTTTAGTGAAAAAAAATTATCCATTACGCAATAAAAATACTCAAATTTTAACATCCCTGGGTAACAAGAGAGAATCTGCATCTTCCTAAAAAAGAAAAGGGGGAAATTCCAATAACCCCCTTTTTTGATTTTTAAAAACCCAAAGAAAAATAAAGCTTTTATTATATCCCCAAATAATATGTATTTTTTGAAAAAAATTTTAAAGAAAAAAACAATTAAAATTTAAACACATAATAACTTTTCACTTTTTTCTCAAACCCCTTACACAGAAGGGCCTGAATAAATATAAATTTGGGAAACTGTAATTTTTCCCCAAATCCTCCAAAAATTAAAATACTATCGGGGGATTTCCAATGATAAAACGAAAATATTTTTTTGCAGCAAAAATTTTTGATTTAAAAAAGGCAACAATACAACTTTCTAAACCACTCCCTTCCGTACACAATTACGAGTGTAAAACCCCCTAAAGTTGTATAAAAACCCTTCGCCCCCCGCTCCCCTTCAAATGCCCAGTCAATGCATCTAAACCTTTTTACGTAAAAAAAAAAAACATTAAATTGCAAGGGGAAAGAAAAAAAAAATAATTTACAATGAAAGAAAAACCCTAGATTTTAATTAAAAATGGAAATGATTTTATCTTTTCGCATTTTTATAATAAAAAGGGAAAATAAATACTTCGTTTTTTTAATTTAAATGTTTTAAACTCGCCAAAAAATCCCCTATTTTTTGGCCAATTCCCTTTTTAAAGCCAAACATCCATCTGGGGGCTCAGGGAAATATGGAATATTATTTTTTAAATTTATGAAAAAAAATACCAGACAAATTTTTAAAACAGATAATATCCAGGGTTTTTTTTTTTATTAAAATCCCCCAAAAAGACTTTCCCCATAAAAACTTAAAATCCCAATTTCCCAAGTTAAATTCCCCAAAAAGGGTTAAAATTTTTTACAAGCAAAAATATTTTTCCGAAACATTTTAAAACAAACGTTTAAAAACACCACTCAAATTTACCTGGAAGGGAACTGTTAGCATCTTATTTATGATATAATCTTTTTTTTAGCTGAAAAAAGCTAAAAAATTCCCAATTTAAGTCAAAATAACGTATTTTTTTCCCAATCAGTCTGGTACAGGCACCATTCCCAAAGTAGAGAAAAAAAACGCTGAATTATCATAATATGGCAAAAGGCAAAGCCACAAAGCGAGCTTGATTTACTTTTACCGTTAAACAGTATAAAAAAATTGTTCATTTTTATTTTACATTTTCCGTTTTAAAACTGTCATTCGGTATCTTATACACTGCTTTTGTTTATTCTGGTTCCCTGTCCTATTATGGTTCCTATGAAAGTGTGCAGGACACTAGTCTACGCATCTGTTTTCAATCAGAATCCCTCGGCCTTTACCGTTATCTTGTAATTCGAAAATTTGCGATGTTTCAATTCAGTACTTCCGATGAAAGTTTTCAAACCATCATTATCTAACAGGTACTCGTGTTACCATGAAGCTCGCTTTGCCAGCAGGCCCTTCGAGCTTGCTAGCAAGGGCAACTGAACTCAGGTGACCAGCTCTAAATCCATTACCTAAACATATAAAAACTCATTTTTGTCCTTCCAGACATGTCGGTCTAGAATGTATCCTGTACAACTAGGATAAAAAAAGATTAAAAAAATATTTGTGAACTTTGAGGCATAGTTTGCCAATGCCTCTAACATTGTTAATGAGCATGGTCAAGACAGATTAATCTAGCTGAACCTTATCTAAATTAACTTAAATTCTGAGTAAAAAAAAAACAATATTTAAAGAAACGTGTAGAAAATATTGTGAAATTACTTGAAAGTTTTGTTGTTGTTGTTGTCGTCACAATGTGCAACATGCAAAATATTCGTAAAACATTTGAAGATTAATTTTAGAGTTTACCGATCATATTTGTATTTTAAAAGGTCAAATCCTGATTAATGTTGAACATAAAATTTACTTTAAATGAAAGGGTATAATTTGTGTGTGCATCGCTTATTTGTATACACCGCGACAATTTCAAACTCTCATACTACGCGACACAGATTAATTTGTACGGATCTATGATTCTCACCTTATATAATAATAATAACAATATAATAATAATAATATCCATCTACGTGTACTGTCAACCTCTCGAATTAGAGTCGATACCACTAATAAAATACCATTGGTAACAGTAATTACCATTAGCATTGGTACGTGCCACTGGTTGGTAATTTACTCTTTACAATTTTGGGTGTATAGAGTTTTTCCAGTGGTAACAATACAAAAATACTATAGGTTCTTTTCTTGTATATGCACTGGTAATGTAGTACATTGAACCAATACTGCTCTCAACAACTATATTAACACGAACAATCTCGTGCTTTCAGTGAATGCAATGATAGTACTGGAAACCTGCTTGGCAGCATCCCCTGGAACGATGCGGTGGTTGAACTGTGCTCTGGTTAATTCAATGTTCTCTAGTTATACATCATACTGCTTTAAAATCGTTTACGATCACTCTAAGCAGGTATACATTGCTATGAGATACAAGGGACTCCGGGAACCAGTCCCTAGCTCTTATTGAATAGACCCCTTGGTTCTTTTACATGCCCAGTGTATAGCACTGAAACATGCGAGGATTACCTGGATTTCTTACCAGTACACCTCTAGTTAGGTGGGAAACACTGGAAGTGTCTCTGAAAAATCCAAAGGTTATAACCCAGGATCGAACCCGGGACCTCAGGAGTGATAATCAGTGGTCTAACCAACTGATCTATCGCGCCGCCACAGATGTGGCTTACTGTGGTGATCCGGAGTGAAAACTACCAACATGTTTGGTTACGCTATGGCACGTCGTCACTTCAATTGTGTTTTGGTCAGGAATTTTCATAGTGTGGTTGCATTATGTTACTATAGTATCTTATCATTTTCTAGTCTCTCATCTCTATCAGTTATACATATCAAGTATCTCGATCAGTCTTATTGTTGTAATTATCATGATAATTAGTTTGTCTACAAGCTTAATTTGCTTTTACACATTAATTCATATTATTTTGTTGTAAATGCTCGTTTGTTTGTGAAATTTGCTGTTTACAAAACTGATGCCCATATGAGCCTAGTTGAAAATATTAACTTGAAACTTGGTTATCTGTACAATAATGAAAGGTGTCGGTCGTATTAGTTTATTAATGAGCCACTGGCCCGTTAAATAAGTTACTATAGTATTCAGTTAAAGTTTGGTACTCTGTTGGTCAATAAATGTATGGTTAACATTTTCGGTTTAATTACAGATACGTTTTTTGGAATCTTTTCTGTTGGCATAAGTTTTTCTCAAACAATATAGCCACGTTAATTGGTTATTCACGTTGTTTTTTTCTCGAGTGGCCATAATTCCCAAAACATTTAAATGCGTATTAAAGAGTAAGGACATTATTACAAATTTGAATTCTATTTCATCATTCATTTTTAAGTAGTAAACATACACTAAAATAAATAAAAATCACAATGTTGCTGTTTTTTTTCTCTCTTTTCATTCGAGTTAAAATATTATTAATTTTTACTAAATTATTTCCAACTTTGTATCATCTATTATAATATTTGCTACAATTATTATGTATAAGTATATGAAAGTGTATTTGAAGTTTTTGGTTGATTATATCATGATCTATTTTTAGACAATATATGTATATCCAAATGAAACAAAGCATACCATAGACTGTCAGCAACGGACAAAACACACACACACACACACACATACACACACAGTCAAGCATTGTCAATTTAAGTATGAACGTAATACTATGATCACGTCTACCAATATATCATTTTATGTTGACTTTGATTTAATGAGAGAAAAATGCCGCAAAACAACCATTTTTTCTTCTTCAAAATTATGTGTAAGGCCATGTTTCAGAGAGAAACTCGATTTTGGGTAATTCCAATAGGTTTCATAATTTAACCCATTTCTTCATACAGACGTCTTCTCGCGCCTTTTCACCCCTTCACCTCAAATGGTGAGAGAAAAAATGCCTTCTTTAGACCCCAAACTCGTGTTTTCGTCTGAGAAATGTTGTTAAAAAGTGATCATTTTTTCGGCGCCATCCCCTATCAAAAAGATACATCAGGGATGCCAGAGAGGGAGATATGTGCCCCCTTCAT